ACAGTGCGGTAGGGTACAGTACGTCTACAGTAGTCAACATGTGAAGTGGATCAAAGGTTGACCTTTCATCAATGTTGTCCTGAAAACATTTGAACATCACTCTTTCTTGTCTTGATAGATAGATCAATAAATTATAAATAAATTAAATGTATGAATTATACACAAACATATCCTCTGAAAGAAAATAAAAAGTAATAATAAAAAAAAAATTAAATACAAAAATTAAAAGAAATTGTTTAATAAATATAATAATAAATTAGCAAGTTTATGATAAGAGCTAAAATAATAATAATAATAATACCAACAAAATATTAAAATTAAAATTAGCAGTTTACATTAAGGAGTCAATATTTTCTCTTTCCAATTAAATACTGTGTGTTAGATCTGATATCGACTGAACAGGGTAACCCTTTGATATATATAATACATACTTTGTAAGAAATCAAGACATCATATAAATACACCCTCTTATTGGTGCTTTGGATGTTATTGACTCTTCCATTTAAAGAGGAATTGAAAAAAAAAAACCTCAGGATAAAGACTTTACTGTATAAATAGCAGTAGTTTTGGATGGATTGCTGATGCCAAATGTTTGTAGTTAAAACAAACAACAGTAAAATGAGTTCAACGGTGGGGATTCTTACATTACTTGCTGTTTCAAATGCCAGTAGTTGATCAGTAGGTCCACTGTGTAGTTACTGAAGAAGAAATGTGTAAGCCTTAAGATGTCACAACATATGAAACACAAATATTTGTTATTTAAAATATTAAATATTTAACATTTGTCTAACAAAGTTGCTAACAATTTATATGGGCTAATTTTTTTATTGGTGTTTGACAAGACAATACCTCATAGTATAATACAAGATATAAAAAAATTACTTATTACTTCTTATTTTTCATATTTTCCCACTATCCCTCCTCAAAATAAAATAAATTAAATGTATGAATTATACACAAACATATCCTCTGGAAGAAAATAAAATTAATAATAATAAATTAAAAATAAAATACAAAAATTAAAAGAAATTGTTTAAAAATATAATAATAAATTAGCAAGTTTATGATAAGAGCTAAAATAATCATAATAATAATAATAATAATAATAATAATAATAATAGTAATAACAACAAAAAATGTCAAATAAAATTAGCAGTTTACATTAAGGAGTCAATATTTTCTCTTTCCAATTAATTACTGTGTGTTAGATCTGAAATCGACTGAACATCCTTCAATATAGCCGACTGAATAGCCTTTGATATGGTCTAAAACAGGGTTCCAGGTATTTGGGTTGAATTTAATCAAACAAATTAAGTTTAATTTCTTTGTTTAAATTCAGCCCAGGTAAATTGTTTACAACCGCTTAACTTAAAAAAATCTAGTAAATCCAAGGCATCATCTTTCAATCATTTTTTTCAGCGTACAGTTTTTACTTTGAGTATTGAAGAGTTCAATAGCTAAAAAATAAAAAATATCTAGTTTTCTGAAACATTCTGTGAACAAAAAATTTAAATGAACTCTTTATTTAACAACTTTTAACATATTAAGCGGTTGGATAATCAATGTGCAGAGATGATGGCAATTTTACGGGCCACGTTTGCTATCAAGCATTGTTTAGTTCACTAAGTCAGTTTAATGGTGAAGGGTTTGATCGAATAGGTCTAATTGATAGAAGGTTTGCAAAGAAATGTCACGCTTCTTTGTAAAAGTATTTTGCAGTATTTTTAAAATACAGTATTTATTTTTTTATTTTTTTTTGTCTTCTTTTTTAAATATTTCCCAAATGATGTTTAACAGAGCAAGGACATTATCACAGTATGTCTGATAATATTTTTTCTTCTGAAGAAAGTCTTATTTGTTTTATTTCAGCTAGAATAAAAGCAGTTTTTAATTTTTAAAAAACATTTTAGGGACAAAATTATTAGCACCTTTAAGCTATATTTTTTCTTGATAGTCTACGGAACAAACCATCATTATACAATAACTTGGCTAAATACTCTAACCTGCCTTGTTAACCTAGTTAACCTAGTTAAGCCTTTAAATGACACTTTAAGCTGTATAAAAGTGTCTTGAAAAATATCTAGTCAAATATTATTTACTGTCATCATGGGAAAGATAAAATAAATCAGTTATTAGAGATGAGTTATTAAAACTAATATGTTTAGAAATGTGTTGGGGAAAAAAAACTTCTCTCCGTTAAACAGAAATCAGAGAAAAAATAAACAGGGGGGCTAATAATTTAAGGGGGGCTAATACTTCAGACTTCAACTGTATAAGCCAGACAGAATCTGCGGACATTTTTTGCTATTTCTGCAGAGAAATATAGCAGATTTATGAATGATTTTAGGAGTATCATAACTTAAGACTTAAAATATGGAATGAACAATAATAAATTTTTTACTTTTATATAATGTTTATAATGCAAATCCATTTAGATTCACTCATCTGGTAAACAAAGCAAAAATATCATATATTAATCTACTAAAAGACTGAACATAGTACTTTACAGACTGCATTATAAATAAATCATAACAACAATTTCATATTACTATTATAATATCACAATAATATTACAGAAGGGTGAAGCAGTGGCGCAGTGGGTAGTGTTGTCGCCTCACAGCCAGAAGGTTGCTGGGTCGCTGGTTCGAACCTGGTTCGAACCTCGGCTCAGTACAGTTTCTGTGTAGAGTTTGCATGTTCTCCCTGCCTCCGCGTGGGTTTCCCCCACAGACCAAAGACTTGTGGTACAGGTGAATTGGGTAGGCTAAATTGTCTGTAGTGTATGAGTGTGTGTCTGGATGGTTCCCAGAGATGGGTTGCGGCTGGAAGGGCATCCGCTGAATAAAAACTTGCTGGATAAGTTGGCGGTTCATTCTGCTGTGGTGACCCCGGATTAATAAAGGGACTAGGACAAGAAAATGAATGAATAAATATAACCGAAATTAATTAAAAAATTGAATAAATATAAATGTACACACATTTACACAAGTAAATACATAGACTCAGTGTTCTAAAAATCTGTGGAAATTTGCCAAAAAAGAACGAAAATTCGAATTAAAACAGCAAAAATATAAATAAACTAATAATGAAATATGTTTTCATAAAATTATATTTAACAGTATTTACTTAACTCTTTTTATGATGCAATGCTTATATATAAAAATATATTTCCCAGTATATTTCTCTGCGTCCTCACATTTACAAGCGCGGTAGTTGCAATGTAATCATCTCGAAGGGAAATAAAGAACGCAGGCGTGGATGTGCAACAAAGTATCCCGTCCTGACGGGAGTGCCACGCCCCCGCTACTCTCATTGGCCAGCGATTTTCTCAACAGCCCTGCCCGTCCATTGACGTCACGGACGTCAGTCTTTGCACATGGATTTGCGAATCAGTTGCGCTTTTGCGCTCCAGCCTGCTGAACTGACGGACGCGCGAGACCGCCGCCGCCGCTCATCGGTGCCGCGTACGGGCTAAGGACTACTCACACACCACAAACTGCAGACTTTCCATTTTTATAAGTTGGCCTTTTTTTAAAAAGTCGTTTCTTCAGGAAGATTGAGATCTCTTTTACGTGATGGAGAAGATGTCTCGACCTCTTCCTATAAACGCAACTTTCCTACCTCCGACCCACGGCGTCCTCAAATCCCTGCTGGAGAATCCCATGAAGCTACCTTTTCACCACGATGAAGGTAAAACGCGGCAGCATGTGGCTGTTTAAAGGGGGTTTAAAGCGTCCTGTGCATCAGCTGACGGCTGTCAGGCGAGGCGCGCACTTTGCTTTCATTATACTCTCTGCACGTAGAGCGCGTCACGTCTCTCTCTCTCTCTGTTTATTTTTCTGTCAGTGTCTCATCATGCAATGCATTCTATATGCTTAATCGCTGTGATTTACAGATTTTTCTTATATATAGATGTTTATTTTCAATGCATTCATTATTGCATTACGCAAAAACTGCGCATTTAATCAGAATGCATGGTGCACTTTGAGCCACGTGATTTCACATGATGTTAAAGAGTTTGAAATGTTAAGTAAACCATGTGTAGTCAACTAATACCGAGCTGATTTCGGAAAGGTGAAGTTCGCACGCAATGGGGATGCTTGGTTCTCATAGTTCCCTATAGAGGGCGCGACTGAGCGGACTGTATTTGTACTTCATCACAACACGTTTACAGTGTAAATAAAAGATTGTTTTGATTATTTTATGCACCAAAGTCAGATCTGTGCAGTTTTCTTACAGTTAATCCTCATGTAATCTTTATATTCTGCAAATTAAGAAATGCTGAAAAATAGCACTGTTTTCCAGAGATGAGAAATCAAAGCTACACAACTGCATCAGTTAAGTTTAAGCTGGTAAAAAACACTGTAATCCATTGTGTGGTTTTGAATATTGTGTGTATTTTGGTGCAAATTTTAAAGAGACAGTTCACCAAAAACAAAAACACTCCTCTATTTACGCATGCTTCACTTGTTTGTGTGGTTGAAAGCAAAAGAAGATATTCTGTAATGCTGGAAACTTGTAGCCATCGACTTCCATAGTGCTCTTTCAGCCTATTACAGGTGTGAATGGGCAGCGCTTTACAGCATTCTTCAAAATATCTTCTCTCCTAAAAGTTTGGAATCATTTAAAGGGACACTTCACTCAAAAACGAACATTTACTCATCGGGTTTACTCTTCCTCAAGTGGACCTTTGTTCATTTCTGTTGTTAATTTCTTTTAATATATTTAAAAGAGGGCGACACGGTGGCTTAGTAGTTAGCTCTGTCACCTCACAGCAAGAAGGTTGCAGGTTTGAGTCCCGTCTGAGCCAGTTTGCATTTCTGTGTGGAGTTTGCATGTTCTTCTCGTGTTAGCGTGGGTTTCCTCTGGTTGCTCCGGATTCCCCCACAGCCCAAACACATCCGCTATTTGTAAATTGAATAAACTAAATTGACTGTAGTGTATGAGTGTGTATGGGTGTTTCCCAGCACTGGGTTATGGCTGGATGGGCATCCGCTGTGTAAAACATATGCTAGAATAGTCAACGGTTCATTCAGCTGTGGTGACCCCTGATAAATTAGGGACTAAGCCGAAGGAAAACGAATGAATTAATGAAGGAAAATTAGATACTTTGAAGAATGTTGTAAACCTGTAACCATTGACTTCCACACTATTTATTTTTCCTACTGTGGAAGTCAATGGATACAAGTATAAACATTCTTAAAATATCTTCTGTCATGTTTATTAGATAGAAGAAACCTGAAGCATTTTTGTGATAAGTGAATTGAGAATACTGTATAAACAATGATAGAAATGTAATTGTTTGGGTGAACTATTCCTTTCAAAGCATGTAAACCGTGAGTAACTTTCTATTTTGAGGGGAACCCTTCTGTTAAGAGACTGTAAAATACAATATGATTTAAATAGAAAAAAACTAAATGGGAAAAAGTTAGAAAGCTGTAGCACTTGACTTCAAGAGTAGGAAAAAGAAATACTATAGAAGTCAATGGTTACCGGTTTACAACGATCTTCTTTCACGTTAATCAGAAACACGTTAAATGATGACACAAATGTAATTGTTTGGGTGAACTGTTCCTTTAAGAGTGTGTAAACAGTGAGTAACTCTTCATTTTTAGAGGAACTCTACTATTTAATAGACTGTAAAATACAATATGATTTAAATGAAACTTTGATACGTCTCCGTGTTTTATGAGCTTTGTAAATCATGCATCATTTGTTTGGAACCATTTAAAGGGACAGTTCACCCAAAAGTTTTTTTTTTAATAACATTTACTAATCACATTTGTCTATTGAACACTAAAAAAAAAAAAAAAAATTGGAAAAGAAAGTTAGAAACCTGTAGCTCTTGACTTCCAGAGTAGGAAAAATAAATAATATGGAAGTCAATGGTTACCGGTTTACAACATTCTTCAAAGTATCTTCTTTCATCTTCATCACAAAAAAGACATCACAACGCGATAAACGATGACACAAATGTAACTTTTGGGTGATCTCTTTAAGAGCATGTAAACAGTGAGTAACTTTCCATTTTGAGTGGAACTCTTTTATTTAAGATACTGTAAAATACAATACACTCTTAAAGGGATAGTTCACCCTAAAATTACATTTGTGTCATCGTTTATTGTGTTTCTGTTAAACACTAAAAAATATATTTGGAAGAAGAGAAATAAGTGAGAAACCTGTAGCCCTTGACTTCCAGACTAGGATAAAGAAATACTATGGAAGTCAGTGGTTACAGGTTTACAACATTCTTCCAAGTATCTTCTTTCATGTTTATTAGAAACATGATAAATGATGACACAAATGTAATTTTGGGTGAACTATTCCTTTAAGAGTGAGTAACTCTCCATTTTTAGAGGAACTCTACTATTTAATAGACTCTAAAATACAATACGATTTAAATTAAACAGAAGTTTGATACGTCTTTGTGTTTTATGAGCTTTGTAAATCATGCAATATTTGTTTGGGAACATTTAAATGTACAATCCACCCCAAAATTGATTTTTTAATAACATTTAACAATTAAAATTTTCTGTTAAACTCTAAAAAAGATATTTGGAAAAAATTTTGAAACCTGTAGCCCTTGACTTCCAGAGTAGGAAAAAGAAATACTATGGAAGTCAGTGGTTACATATTTAAAACATTCTTCAAAGTATCTTCTGTTATATTCATCAGAAACATGATAAATGATGACACAAATGTAATTTTGTGGTGAACTGTCCCTTTAAAAGTGTGTAAACAGTGAGTAACTCAATTTTTAGAGGAACTCTACTATTTAATAGACTGTAAAATACAGTAAGATTTAAATGAACCTGAATTTTTATACGTCTCTGTGTTTTATGAGCTTTTTAAATCATGCATTATTTGTTTGGAGCTGTTTAAAGGGACGGTTCACCCCAAAATTAATTTATTTTAAATAACATTTATTAATTAAAATGTTCTGTTGAACACTAAAAATATATTTGGAAAAAAGTGAGAAACCTGTAGCCCTTGACTTCCAGAGTAGGAAAAAGAAATACTATGGAAGTCAGTGGTTACATATTTAAAACATTCTTCAAAGTATCTTCTGTTATATTCATCAGAAACATGATAAACGATGACACAAATGTAATTTTGGGTGAACTATCCCTTTAAGAGTGTGTAAACAGTGAGTAACTCTCAATTTTTTTTTAGAGGAACTCTACTATTTAATAGACTGTAAAATACAATATGATTTAAATGAAACTGATTTTTGATACGCCTCTGATCTTTATGAGCTTTGTAAATCATCCATTATTCGTTTGGAACCATTTAAAGGGACGGTTCACCCCAAAGTTTTTTTTTTTTAATAACATTTACTAATCACATTTGTCTGTTGAACACTAAAAAAAAAGAAGTTTGGAAAAGAAAGTTAGAAACCTGTAGCTCTTGACTTCCAGAGTAGGAAAAACAAATATTATGGAAGTCAATGGTTACCGGTTTACAACATTCTTCAAAGTATCTTCTTTCATCTTTATCACAAAAAAGACATCACAACGCGATAAACGATGACACGAATGTAACTTTTGGGTGATCTCTTTAAGAGCATGTAAACAGTGAGTAACTTTCCATTTTGAGTGGAACTCTTTTATTTAAGATACTGTAAAATACAATACACTCTTAAAGGGATAGTTCACCCTAAAATTACATTTGTGTCATTGTTTATTGTGTTTCTGTTAAACACTACAAAAGATATTTGGAAGAAGAGAAATAAGTGAGAAACCTGTAGCCCTTGACTTCCAGAGTAGGATAAAGAAATACTATGGAAGTCAATGGTTACAGGTTTACAACATTCTTCCAAGTATCTTCTTTCATGTTTATTAGAAACATGATAAATGATGACACAAATGTAATTTTGGGTGAACTATTCCTTTAAGAGTGAGTAACTCTCCATTTTTAGAGGAACTCTATTTAATAGACTCTAAAATACAATACGATTTAAATTAAACAGAATTTTGATACGTCTTTGTGTTTTATGAGCTTTGTAAATCATGCAATATTTGTTTGGGAACATTTAAATGGACAATCCACCCCAAAATTGATTTTTTATTAACATTTAACCATTAAAATTTTCTGTTGAACTCTAAAAAAGATATTTGGGAAAAAATTTAGAAACCTGTAGCCCTTGACTTCCAGAGTAGGAAAAAGAAATATTATGGAAGTCAGTGGTTACAGGTTTGCAACATTCTTCGAAGTATCTTCTTTCATCTTCATCAGAAACATGATAAACGATGACACAAATGTAATTTTGTGGTGAACTGTCCCTTTAAGAGTGTGTAAACAGTGAGTAACTCAATTTTTAGAGGAACTCTACTATTTAATAGACTGTAAAATACAGTAAGATTTAAATGAACCTGAATTTTTATACGTCTCTGTGTTTTATGAGCTTTTTAAATCATGCATTATTTGTTTGGAGCTGTTTAAAGGGACGGTTCACCCCAAAATTAATTTATTTTAATAACATTTATTAATTAAAATGTTCTGTTGAACACTAAAAATATATTTGGAAAAAAGTGAGAAACCTGTAGCCCTTGACTTCCAGAGTAGGAAAAAGAAATACTATGGAAGTCAGTGGTTACATATTTAAAACATTCTTCAAAGTATCTTCTGTTATATTCATCAGAAACATGATAAATGATGACACAAATGTAATTTTGGGTAAACTGTCCCTTTAAGAGTGTGTAAACAGTGAGTAACTCTCAATTTTTAGAGGAACTCTACTATTTAATAGACTGTAAAATACAATATGATTTAAATGAAACTGATTTTTGATACGCCTCTGATCTTTATGAGCTTTGTAAATCATGCATTATTCGTTTGGAACCATTTAAAGGGACGGTTCACCCCAAAGTTTTTTTTTTTTAATAACATTTACTAATCACATTTGTCTGTTGAACACTAAAAAAAGAAATTTGGAAAAGAAAGTTAGAAACCTGTAGCTCTTGACTTCCAGAGTAGGAAAAAGAAATATTATGGAAGTCAATGGTTACCGGTTTACAACATTCTTCAAAGTATCTTCTTTCATCTTCATCACAAAAAAGACATCACAACGCGATAAACAATGACACGAATGTAACTTTTGGGTGATCTCTTTAAGAGCATGTAAACAGTGAGTAACCTTCCATTTTGAGGGGAACTCTTTTATTTAAGATACTGTAAAATACAATACACTCTTAAAGGGATAGTTCACCCCAAAGTTACATTTGTGTCATTGTTTATTGTGTTTCTGTTAAACACTAAAAAAATATTTGGAAAAAAAGTGAGAAACCTGTGGCCCTTCACTTTCAGAGTAGTAAGAAAGAAATATTATGGTAGTCAATGGTTACATTTTTACAATGTTCTTCAAAGTATCTTCTTTTACATTCATCAGAAATGTTGAAAGACCCACTTGTCACTGACAAAGGTCCAGAATTGGTCCCATACACAAGCTCATTTGTCCTATTTTGACTGCTATGCCATAATAAAATTGTGAAAATATCTATCGAAGAAGGCTTTAAGACCAAGCGGAATCCTCTTTAGGCTGTGGCTTCAGCTTGTTTGAGAAAAGTTAATAAATGCCTAATAAATGACAATAGGCTAGATTTTAATTTAAAACTTTAACAGCATCCTTTTTTCTAATGATTCTAATGATTAATGATTAATTTTCTAATGATCAATGATCATTTGTATTGGAAAAATAAGTATTAGTCCCATATTTTTCTTGCTAATCTTTAGGAAATGATGAACCTGTTGTTGTTTTTTATGAGCTTTATAAATCATGCAAATCATTATTTCAGATCAATTCCAGCGTTATGGATGTGACGTTTCTTAAAGCATGAATTCACAGAGAAAGTGTATGTTGACATTATAGTGAAACATCTGTTTATATTTTGCAAAACTACTAACCACAGAGTTAAGGGATCAGAAAAAGCTGTGAACATATTCTGTAGTTTAATTGAGGGAAATAAGCATGCGTTATGCATGTGACCAATAGAGTCAGTGACTTTTCAGTAAACAACATACTTTGAAGAAATTCTGTGAATTAAACTGCACAACCCAAAAGAAATAAATGGTGAGGGAGTGTTTAATAAGTAAAACTGGCCTCACACAGTTTAGTTTAGTCTGCATCAAACCTGCAGGAAAACAATCAGGCTTTGCTGAATGGCTGGTTATTTTACTAACGATTTAGTATCAATAGTTATTACAAATTGTAAAGAAAATGTCTTAAAGGGGTGGTCCAGAGTGTATTTTTAAGGCTTGGTTGTGTTTATAAGATGCAAAGCAATGATTAAGTGATTATGCTTCACTTGTAGAAAATCAGTTTTTTTTTAATATATCTTACTTTGATTATAAACAGCTACTCAGCTAACAGAAAAACAACTCTTATTTCCTAGTTCCTCTGAAAGGCTCGCTCTCAAGAGGCTCTGATTGGTCAGCTAACATAATGTGCTATAATTCGCGGATCGGTGAAAAGCGTCACACACCCACAAGCATGTGCTTTTGCGCTGTGTAAATAGTGTCAATCAGAGTAACTGTTAGTCGTATCAGTTTGAGCCTGAATCAGACAGAAAATGAAGAGCACACAACCGAACCTCATGCCTGCTCTTTAAAATAAAACCTAACAAGTGTCTTTCACATATATTTGGTTATAAGCATGTGTAAGTAATATGAAACGTTCTCATATGTTTTGCGAGTCGGTTATTTGAGATGTAGAATGCAGGGAAATCAGCCGCATAGAGAGACACTGCAGCGTTGCTGAAGGTTGTGTGTGTTTGCAGCCGTTTGACTGATAAATATGAATTTATAGCTAAATTGTTAGCAGTGCCAAACAGCATTTCCTGTTGTTTACGTCCTTGCTATAACTTACCATTAACGCTAGAAACTGTGCATGTAGTTGATCAATTTAAACAAACAAAAACGCTTACAGGTTGTTGCTCACAATCCACAACTTCATCGGTTGGAGTAGTTTAGGCCGAATCCAGCACTGAACTGAGAGATATTCTGGAAGCTGTCCTTTGTCAAATGCTAGCTATATATATTTTAAAATTCACTGGAACATAATTAAAATTAAATAGTAAGCAGAGTTGGGCGAAGCAGTGGCGTAGTAGGTAGTGCTGTCGCCTCACAGCAAGAAGGTCTCTGGGTTGCTGGTTTGAACCTCGGCTCAGTTGACGTTTCTGTGTGGAGTTTGCATGTTCTCCCTGCGTTCGCACGAGTTTCCTCCGGGTGCTCTGGTTTCCCCCACAGTCCAAAGACATGCGGTACAGGTGAATTGGGTAGGCTGAATTGTCCATTGTGTATGGGTGTGTGTGCATGTATGTGTGTGTAAAAACGTGCTGGATAAGTTGCTGATTCATTCCGCTGTGGCGACCCCGGATTAATAAAGGGATTAAGCCGACAGGAAAATGAATGAATGAATGAGTAAGCAGAGTTCACACAGATAAATTACACATCAACTCAAGTTTGAAATATGATGTTGTAGTGGACCACCCCTTTAATGTTAAAAAAGGAAACATAAGCTGGACCACAACAGATCAAATCAATGTAGCGTAGTTTACAGCAAGCATCATGTTTTTAGTTGTCGTCTGTCATATACAGTAGGCTCATAGGTCTTTTATTTTTACTAAAGAAGATTATTTATGTATTAGATTATCTGTATCAGTAGATACTCAGAATTTTCATTTTGAGATCGGATCGTTTCCAAAAAGAAAAGGGTATCAGTGCATCCCTAGAAATGATGCTAATCCAAAGGAAAAAAAGTTTGCTCTCTATAAAACAAAAATGACTGATTTTATTTGATGTTTTTGCATTTTTGAGGGAAAAGCTTGGTTATGGACGTGACAGATGTGAAAATGTCCCTTCTTTGACTTTGGTAAATCAAAAGTTTGAAAACATTGACAGGGACATTTTTCAGTATTTTACAGTACTGTAAAACACAAACCTTCGATATTTTGGTAAAAAAAATAAAAATAAGGTCATACCAAGTTTGACATTTGCATGCAATTGCTTTAATAATAACAACCCAAATGTGTTTCAGCTAGCGATAACACCCCCTTCTTATTACTGGGTTGCAGCTGGAAGGGGCTTTACCCACTGTGTAAAACATATGCTGGAATAGTTGGTGGTTCATTCCACTGTGGCGACAACTGAAATAGAGACTAAGCTAAATGAAGTTTCACAAACTAATTTCGAGAGGAGCTCGTGATATGATTGACTGCAGCTGGCCACTCATCTACACTCCTTGGCTAGCCAATCAGATTGATCCAAACTCACTATAAGTAACCTAGCTAAGAACTACTCCCTTATCTTCGTTTTCCGAAGAAACCCCCCATCCACCCCTTCTCCTCCTTTCCTCTTTTGCCGAGGGAAGCTCTCGAGAACACCTGACTTCGTACTCCCCTAACATGCTTTATGGACCTGGCGGGAGCCCTGGGCTCAACTATCTCCGAGCTCAGGGTTCTCTTCCGGGACAGCATGCCAAACCTGCTAACTTGCTAACAAATTGTCAAAAAGTATCTTAGTGCGAACTCTTGAAAGGAAAATGAATGAATGAATAACACCCACCATCTTGTTCCCGCAGGGTTCGGAAAAGAGAAAGAGAAGGAGAAGAAGTTGGAAGACGATGCAAGCACTCTCAACACCCCTCAGTCTGCCTTCCTGGGGCCGACTCTGTGGGACAAGACCCTGCCGTACAACGCCGACAACTTCCAGCTGGAGTATATGGATTTAGAGGAGTTCCTGTTGGAGAATAATATTCCCGCCAACCCACAGAGCGAGCAGAGCCAGCCTTCCCAGCCGCCCCTGCAGCCGCCCTCGGCCCCGCCCACTCCCTCAGTGGTGGATCTCAGTAACCGTGACAACAGCAGCTCTCACAATGGGATGGTCGCTCAAAACTGCCTGCAGAATCCCACCAGACCAGGTAGAGCTCTGAACATGATTATTGTTTAAGTCAAGTTTATTTGTATAGCGCTTTTTACAATTATCGCTTCAAAGCAGCTTTCCAAAGAATGCACATTATTGCATTACAATTTAAATCGGAAAAGGTTAGGGTTATTAGTTTTCAGTACATTATTAGTTACTAATGACTAATTAAGATGAAACTAATAGGGGTGTAACGGATCACGATTGATTTGTTTGTTTCACGGATCACAAACCGTGGTTCGGAACACACGTGACACGCGAATTGAAGAGAGATCGCCTTCCACATCATTTAAATCAGATGTATGAAAGCATTTAGTCTTCCTTATAAAATGTAATGATGATGGAAGAAGTCGTGGTGGGTTATTCAGGATGTGGTGGGTTTCTTAGGTTATTATTAAAGGTGTTTTCTGTCACTACTTGATTAGCCTGCATTAATGCATTCAGTGTAAGAATGGATGAAAAAAGTTCTTAAGAATGTGGAACAACCATTTTTGGTTCCAGAAAAAAGTTAACAGTTTTGAGTACTTTTGATTTTTGAGAAACTTTTGTGAAATGTAAAGATGTTTCTTTATGGAAAAGTAAATCCCATGAAAGAACATTGATTGATTGATTGATTGATTGATTGATTGATTAATTGATTGATGTAAAAATAGCATGGATGAAAAAAAGTTCTTTATGGAGCCTTCTTAAGAATGTGGAACTGTTTTTGGTTCCAGAAAAAAAGTGAAAAGTTCCTAATAATAAAACTTCTTTATTAGTGCGAAGAACTTTTGAATGTTGTATAGAACCTGACTGATTGATTGATTGATTGATTGATTGATTGGTCGGTCAGTTGGTCGGTTGATTGTTCGATTGGTTGAGTGATTGGTTGTATGGTTGATTGGTTGGTTAGTTGATTGATTGATAGATTGATTAATCGGTGGGTAATCTGTTTGTTGGATGATCGATTGGTTGGTTGATCTATTGATTGATTGATTGATTGGTTTGTTGGTTGGTTGATTAATTGGTTGGTTGATGGGTTTGTTTGTTGGTTGGTTGGTCCATTGATTGATTGATTGATTGATTGATTGATTGATCGGTTTGTTGGTTGCTTGGTTGGTTGATTAATTGGTGGGTTGATGGGTTTGTTTGTTTGTTTGTTGGTTGATTGGTTTTGATTTGAATTGGATTGATTGATTGATTGATTGATTGATTGATTGATCGGGTGGTTAATTGGTTGGTTGGTTGGTTGGCTGGTTGATCGTTGGTTAATCGGTTGGTTGATTAATCGGTTTGTTGGTTTGTTGATTGATTGATTGGTTGGTTGATCGGTTTCTTGGTTGATCAGTTTGTTGGTTGGTTTGCTGTTTGATTTATTGGTAGGTTGATTGATTGACTGGTTTGTTGGTTGGTTGATTGGTTAATTGAACTGTTTGTTAGTTGAGATTTTGAAAGATGTATTGATTAATTGATTGATTGATTGATTGATTGATTGATTGATTGATTGATTGATTGATTGATTGATTGATTGATTGATCGATCGGTTTGTTGGTTGATCAGTTGTTTATTTAAATAATTGGTTGGTTAGTTGGTTGGTTGATTGATCGGTTTATCGATTGATTGATTGATTGATTTGATTGATTGATTGATTGATTGATTGATTGCTTGATTGATTGATTGATTGATTGATTGATTGATTGATTGATTGATTGATTGATTGATTGATTGGACGATTGGTCAGTTTATTGATATGGTGATTGACTGGTTGAATACCAGTTTTGTCAATAATTGTTTTGTTGGTGGATTGATTTATTGGTTGATTGCAGGTAATAAATCTGCAGTGATCCCATAGATATATCCTTTCTTGGTTGTCAAAGAACATCAGTGAACAGTTCTTAAAATAACTCTTTTCTCTGAAGAAAATTGTAATAATCTTAAAATCATTGTTCCACTGTAATTCCAACAAGAGTTTGTTTAGGGAACGCAGTCTTCTGTTTTCGGTCTTTCTGAAGTAGATCTGACTTCTGCATGTGCCGTGCAATCGTGTGATCGTGTTTTGTTTGTCAACTCACTTGGACTTTGCTCTCAGATTGTCTACGGTGTGTGTTTGGCTGAAGTTCATGCCATCAGGTGTTTGTGGATCATATTGTTCTGGAAGGGATATCTCCGTTGCTTTTGCAATCAGTTCAAACCTACTTTGTTTGCAAGATGCTTCAGACTATTAGAATGTCCTATCGAATTAATTTGATTAGCTTTAAGTAAAATCGTGCATGACAGAAATGTGTTCAAACCTGAATTACATGCATGTCATTTTTCTTGATGTGCATTTTCATTATTCAAGCTATGAATGCAACTTGACTGATGGTTGTCTCCAAAAACACACCTGAGGAATCATCAAATTCAGCTGTCAGATCCATCATACACGCTTTCACGATGCAATGGCTTTTACAGCACCCTTAAGGGGATAGTTCATCCAAAAATTAAGATTTCCTGTTCATTTACTCACCCACAAGTCTTCCAAGATAAAGATGACTTTAGTTTTTTCTTCAGTAGAACATTTAAGGGTGATTTTGAGCTGAATCTGTGGGTCTTGTTGGTTTATATAATGGCAGTGAATGGTGACAGGTTTTGTAGATTAAAATAAACACATACAGATGAGTTCAAATCAATAGTCATTGCTTCTGTTGACACACTGAGGTCTTGTGAAGCGAATCGATCAGTCCATGCAAGAAACTGAACATTATTTACAATACTATTAGCTTTACTTTACAGTCTGGTCAAACAGATATCAGTGCATGTGTGAATGTAGTCCGATTTTGGTCCACTAGTCATTCACACATGCGTCAAGAACTAAAATAATGTTTAGTTTCTTACACAGACTTTAAAGTGTTCTTTCCTGGTCTTTAAAGTGAAATATCACAACATAAACAAAGGTGGCTGTGAAAAATGTTCATTTGTAGGTGTTAACCTACACTGGTCTCACGGTTCGGTTAGGATTATCATGCCATCAATTGGGTTCAATTCAACATCTCGGTGCATCACGGTGCATTGACAATGCTTTCCATAAACAGTTTACTATTTTACTAAGCAACACAATAATGCTTGTATTAAAACTTATCATTTATAGATATATTTTTATTTATATATTATTTGTAAGACAATTCTGTCCTTTAAAACAAGGAGTCAGATATACAGTTAAAGTCAGAATGATTAGCCCCCCTTTGAATCTTTTTTAAATATTTCCAAATGATGTTTAACAAAGCAAGGACATTTTCACAGTGTGTCTGATAATATATTTTTCTTTTACACAGTCCTCGTGTTCTGTACATGTTAGAAGTATTTATACATTTAAAAAAAATGCATAACATTTCTGCACATGTTAGATGTAATGATATATTTTAATATCTATATTTGGAAAAATTCCTAAAAACATTTCTTGTGTTTTATATGTGTTTTAAGTAATTATATATTTTAATATCTATATTTGAAACTAATAACATTTCTTGTGTTTTCAACATATCGTATGTAATTCTTAAAAAAATTATTATTATTTTATTTATTATTATAATATTATTATTATAATATTATTTTATTATTATATTATTTATTAATTTTTTTTTCATTATTTTATTTTATTTTATTTTATTTTTTGTAGTATGTCGGTGGGAATATATGTAGTGGTTGAAATTAAAAATGTTTCAACATCACATATACAACATATATATTTCATATATATATTGCCCAGGAACAAAATATATATATATATATATATATATATATATATATATATATATATATATATATATATATATATACACATATATATACATATATATATATATATATATATATATATATATATATATATATATATTTATATATATATATATATATATATATATACATACACGTACACACACACACACACACACACACACACACACACACACACACACACACACACACACACACACACACACACACATATATATACATATATATATATACACAGAAACAGTCATGTGATTTTGTTTTAAGAGATAGTGTGATAGCAAAAATGAGCTCGGTTAATCAACAAACAATTGTTGTTTTAGTTATTAAATCCAGTCATCAGAGTGGGATGGAAACAATGGTTGGATGGAAATGATGCCTTATTCGCAAAGGTTTTATACGATATTCCAGTTTTTGCGCTTACAGTACGTCTAAATCGAAGTCTAATTTGCATATTTGGATGGAAACGCAACTATCGATAAACTGATTGTTTGCGTAACATTTAATATATCTGACCTGGAAATCTACTAGATGGTCAATAGTATTTACTTCCCCTGTTATGATTGGTCATAATGTTTTGGCTTATTCATGTACTCCGCATTTAGCTTTTTTGTATATAGTTTAGAATGGAAGTATGCATATTCAGATTCATGGTATAATTGTAGGGAAAATCGATGATTCATCAGGTTTATATACACTGTCTTTCTTATAACGCCAAGGAATTTTTAATACTGCAAGAATGTCAGAGTAATTAAATGTATATATGTTTTTTTTTCTGAAAATTAGATACTATTTAGCATTTGTTTCCAAATCTTTTATGGATTCTTACAAA